GTTTAAAGCCCTCTTCACCAGCTTGGCAAGCCTATGACCGAAGACACTCTTCCCCTTCTCTGACAGATGGACCCCATCAGCCCCTAGTAGACCAGGTTTCTCAAAGAGAGTCCCATGGTCTAAGTAGCTGAATCCCTGGCTGTGGCACCAGTCCTGTAACCATTTGTTGATTCACCAGATTCGACTGGCCCTTTAAGGATACTTTAACTTGGAAAAGTCCATATATGATTTAATTAATTAACTTCAAATTTTTGCACCTTCAGTTCATTCAGCTTAACTTTCCTAATGCTATATTGCTTAAACTTGCATATAAATACTATTCATACAGTATGCATTCCTAAATATACATAGGAGTAATTTTAGGAATGATGTACCATGTCTTTTACATTCACACGCATACATACTGAATTAGAAATGCAGAACTATTAAGGAATGTTAGATGAGCAGAAGATTAAAATGTTCCCATATTTTTTACTTCCTTGAAATGGAAAGAGAGAACATTTACCTCTGTTATCTCTGGCAGGAGCGTCATTCTTAATAGGTGCCACGGTTCGTCGACTCTATAAAGAAAGAAATCTCTGTTATTTGGTCACCTTATTATTGAAAACATAAACTGCAGCCCCACCTCTGCTTCTTTCCAGGGAATAAAAATAATACAACGTCAGCAATACAGAGAGGTGATTGCTGCCAAATCCTTCCCTGAAGAGCCTAGGGTGAAGACTGCTTGAACTATATGTACTGTTTCAAAACAAACTCCAAAACCTTTTCTATATTTTTCTTTGAAATATATTTAGTTATATAAATATTAGTTCCCAACTCCCTCTCTGCCAAACCTGTTCTTAGAATATTTTTAGAAACCCCTGTTCACCATAGGGAAAAGAAAGGAACACAGTTATCAAGTAGCTCCACAGACACAAAAGTTAGATTCAAAAATTCAAGCATAACAACATGTATAGGAGTACTGTAAGTTTAATATGAACATGTTGCATAGGTATTATCATATGGTATTATTCATACTACCAACCTTTACAATTTTGTTTACTTTGGCTGCTGGAGTAGGTGGTGGTGGTGTCTCTGGACTAGGGTCAATATCTTCATCAGGGGCAAGATGTGGTGGTGTCTCTGGACTAGGTTCAATATCTTCATCAGGTGCAAGATCTGGGTTAAGTGAAAATATGCTCTCCAAGTCAATCTGTGTAAAATAATATAAAATGCATTTATGAGTCTTAGAACAATATTCTCCCTCTCCATTTCTCCTGTTATGTTTGAGAATAAACAATAAATATATTTAGTGTTTTTACCCCACAATTTGTTAATTCTATAACCTGAATGATCTTATTTTATATTAACTAAAAACGGTGTAAGCTTTGGTCTTCATATTAGTTGAAAACACATCCTTCAGAAAAGGGATTAATTAAAAATGACCAATAGATATTCATAATTTTGTAAAGTGATTAAATTAAAACAGTATCTAGTATTACTGTGGTAATTTGACAATTACTGCAGAATATGAAAGACATTCTGTAACATAAAAAGAAAGAGATCTCAATTATTTGAAATTTCCTAGACAGCACAAAAGAAACAGACAAATTACAACCACTCAAAAAATAAAAGCACAGTTGAAACCATGTTAAATTTATCATGCTATTTTTTTTCCTTGTAAGTGTTCCTCATTGAAAATGCTGTAAAATGTAAGCGGGGGAAGGGCAGGATCTTAAAAATAGCTGTCTTCAGATCTATTGAAACTTGGTTTCCTAAAAATCTTCAATAGCTTTGGTCTCTACAGACTGCCATTTCCTCTGGCTGGACCTTTCAAAGACCTCACTACTGTACAGATTCTGTGTGTCCAGAGGGATGAGCTCAGCTGATGAGATCACCAGGACAGTCTCACAACTTTTTTTTTCCTTTTTCCTGTTTTCACAAAACTGGTGAAGTGTAATTATTTCTGAGCTGCTTCTCCAAATCTCAGCTGAAACTGGCTAACATGGTCCAAAATTTACAGGAAGAGTGGATAGCAAAGCATAACTGGGACACACACAGACACAGTTTCTTAAGGAAAGCAAGATTGGAAAATTATTGCCTAAAATAAATAAACAAACAAACTAGCAGTTCATGCCCTCAATAATAAGTCATTCTCCCTCTCAAAAATTTGATTTTTCTACTTGTAAAAAGGGGTAACAAGGTCAGCCTTTGCAATCTGGTTCAAAATCAAAACATGAAAAGCACTATTTAAAAGCTATGACACAGAGTTCAGGAAGTCAAATTTAATACAACAGAAACCAGCATTTGCCCGATAACTCCCATTCAAAACAGTCTATAACCAAAGAATCATCAAGTAAATTAAGATTTATATTTATATTTTCTCTTTGTTTCCAGTGCATATTCCAAAGCAATATTCATGTAGATTACACATTTTTTAAAAGAGAAAAGTTCTAAAATAATTAGGTTTACCTCTTTGCCTTTAGTATCTCCATTTTCAATCCATTCAACAGTTACACTTTCATTATCTTCATTTAGGGATGTTACCATAGCTTGGTGAATTCGGCCTAGAAAGGAAACACAAAGATCAATTAACAGATGGAAACATTTTCCAGAAGTTATTTTAATCCCTGCACTGAGAAATGCAGATAGAGGTAGGAATAAGAGGGTTTAAAAAAAAAAAAAGTAATAAATAGAAGATGATTCCTGGCCACATACTGTAAACTGGCTCAGATTTGATCCACTATCGGAGGCTCTAACAGGACAGTCAGTGTACAAGTGAAAAACTCAATGAACAGAAAACTGAGTGTAAGTAAACAAAATACCATGTGAAAGCCACACCACTTAGACTCTCTTTTCTGAGAGTCTCCCATGGGTGGGAATGTTTCCTGAGGTGCACTCCACAAAGGCTTGTTTGTCTCCCTTCTAGGCTGATTAAACATTAAATGTCCCGACATAGGAGGAAAGCCCCCTGAAATTGTATTCTGATATCCATTTCTTATGGGCATTCAATCAGTTGGTAATTCAACTAAAATTAAATTGCCTGCAATTTAATACAAATCATCATTTTAAAAACAATTGCTAACACAGACTGTTAAGCTGGAGTTAAGGTGCCATTGCTATGACTTCTCCAGTGAAAGATCCAAAGCCAGCAAGCCCCCATAAGGTACAAGAAAACCAGTAAACTTTCAGTAGGAATAAGGATTTTCCTTCTCAAATATGTAGTGTACCGCATTTTTTTAATATGTCATATTTTATCCTATTTCCTACACGTGGTAGCGAGGAGCAATTGGAAGAGCAGAGCAGCCATGCACTGACACAGAAGTGTATGTCACATGGATTTCACATCTGTGCTTTGCCCGAAGAGTACCAAGAATTGGGGTTTCTAAAGAACACAAGTCCAATGAGACTGCTCCTCTAACATCCTCCTTTAATGAGCCATAGCACAAACAAGCAACCCCTTACTCCATTGCATTTGAGAGGGAAACACAAGCGATACAGTAAAAAAGGAAACCTAAATAATGTTTTGTTATCTCCCCAAAGGAAAAAAATGGAAATGTAAAGCTTTATACACCCAGCAAGAAGTATTTTCATTGCAACTGTACTTAATCCTTCCATGAACTCCCTGAAAACCACACAATTTAAACTTGTTTGTAGCTTGCAGCCTGCAGCCCACACACACCCACAGCGGCCCCTGCAGGTGTCTCTACCAGGCCACCCTCGGTCCCACCAAGCTCACCTGGGCCCACAACACCAACACAGCTCCCCAGCAGTTCTGCAGGACGAGCGCAGTCTGGTAATTCTCACATCCACACACCACAGCGCGCACCTCCTCCTGCAGCACCGTCAGACAAATCCACTCCTCCAACGCCAGCACGTCCCACCTGCCTGCCGCCCCTGAGCCACCCCCCAGAGACCACACTTCAGCACCCACCCTGAGCCACCCCCCAGGAGCCCAAGGGCCATGTGTGCTCCAAAAGCACAAGCCAATTGTCCTGGACAGTCCATGCATATGCTGCTGCTGCTGGGCACCTGCTTAGGGGCGAAACATAGCACGGTCCTTACACATCTGCTCTTGTCTGGGTCTCCATCTTGCATCTTCTCTTCTCTTTTCCTAAATCTCCCAACCTCCCAAATCCACCCCAGTTTTTTCCTCCATCGACTGTTTCAAACTTCTGTTTCAGCCATTTCAGTCACAATTTGACAGTTTTCCAAAGTTAATCTTTTTATACAGTCTAAGCCTCTTAGGGCCTGCTGAGGGACAGGAAGGAAGAAAAACCTTAACTGGTATCCCAAATTATCTCACCTAACAGCGCAAGTAACAGATGTATATTGTTAATATATCTTTTATTGCAAAGGCTGCCTAAACATTCACATCTAGTTAAAATTAAGCAAAAAGAGAGGCTACAGGTAAGTGTCATGGAAGGTAACAGCAAATCTGTGTACTCTAATATAACATGCAGAGGAAGAGACTAACTGAAACTCAGGCAGAGCATAGCACATGGGGGAACTCGCAGAGCTGTCGGCACCCCTGGGCAGCACTGCTTTCGCATCTGTGGTGCTTACCTCACCGGCAACAGTACATTACATACACATTTCTAACCTCCACACTTCTCCTTGCCTAAAGCATAAGATTCAGTCCACCACTAAAGAAGGTTAAGTAATTTTTTTACTCAAAAAAAAACCAAACCAACCCACAACACTTCCCCCTTTGCTTCACTTGGTTCCTTTCCTCTAGCATTTGCTAGCTTTTATTTCCCCGACCTGTATTTTGTCTGAATAAACCCTTCCATTTGTGCTTCCTGAGCATCATTCTCCCAGGCGCCTCAGCTGTGTGCACTGCAGGGACGGTCTGGATTCCTCACCGAGGCACTGCCAGCAGGAGATGTGCAAGCAGGGATCACAGCCATGCCCTCCCCTCCGTGCACAAACATTCCTCCATTTCCCCTCATCCAAATGACATAGTGCAGGCACACATCCTGCCTTCAGGATCGTGCCTGAATTCTGCTGGTGGCTGGGCTGAAGCAGACTCACTGAGCATGATGTTCCCACACCTCATTTCCTTGGACGAGCATTTTTGTGTAAATTGTCTTTGTGCAAGGTCCTCCATACACCTGTCCATTAATTTTTCTGCATTTAATAACCTCTAGTGACTTAATTTGGTGCAAGAACACTGTCATAGAACTGTTTCAATTAGCTATCTGTCTGGTCTGTTAGCAAAGTAGCAACAGTGTAGAGAACTGCTAATGTAAAACAACAAGATGTCTCAAACAGCCTGGTGCTAAAACCACAATGCAGAGCGACGGTCGCTAGGACCCAGGACCAGACAGTACCCTGGAGTGAGGGTGAGGGAGGGAGTCCTGTGGAGACAG